TATATATATATATATCCTGAACTAAAAAATGGAATAGGGGCCCAGGGCTTCAAAGAGAGAGGAGAGCGACTGCCATGATGACCATGTGCTCTGTAATCAGGTGGTTGCCCTGCCTCATAGACTGGTCTCTCGAATTGGCTATTTTGTATAAAAATCCTAAATCTGGGTAATAGTTCAATTTCTATTCTAGGTTGTTAAGGAAGTGTTTAAAAGTTTCTTATGAAATGGTTGGCCTCAGCTTGAAATAATTCACATGCCAAATGAACAGCGATAGGACTTCTCCCCCTTTATAGAGACACCTCTGAAATAACTCGCGGGAAGAACTGGTCGGAACATCTTGGGGCAAATTGGGTGGCCCCAGACTTCTCTGTACTATTTTTGCAATACCATGTTAATCAATAAATAGTATTAAATAAAGGTTTTATGCTTCGAGTTAGTTAAGTACTTTAAGAAAGAAAAATAGCAAAAGTGATCTGTCTAGAATGTTCTCCTTTTGCCATAATTGCAGTGTGTCTGTCTTATATTCTGTGTCTGCGCTGATCCACTTGGAGCTGTGCCATGAACTCTGGTGTGTGACTTTATAACACTACACGCATCTCTCTCCACATTGGTACCATGTCTGTGCCACTTACCTCCTTTTCTGCATAGTCAAAGATTGAGCGGTAGGTAATTATGCCAGGATTCCTAGAGAATGCAAAGTTTGGTCATCTTTGATTCACAATTAACACTGAGAAGTAAAATTAAGCATCTCACTGGATATCACCATCTAATTCCAGCAGCAGCAAGTATGTGACTACATTATTACATCCCCTGTGAACTGAGAGGTAAGGCAAACCAGTATCAGCGCAAGTTTGAGTAGTCTCCATAAGGTACTGATAAGCCAGTCAACTGAATAATAGGAAACCCAGACACTCACTGCAGGGAGTTTGGTGGTTGCCTAGCTGTGCCCTCCACCTCTCTACTTGTTCCTGGGCACTCCTATTTATAGGTGCAGAAATGAGTGAATCATGGTGTGATTAAACCTGTGGTGAAGACAAAATCTAAAATTGAGAGTTAAGAATGTAGTCCCGCTATCCTGTTGGCGCAGCGGGTTAAGGCACAGCACTGTGAGGCTGTCTGCAGCCGCTGCAGCAGGAGTTCTATCCCCGGCCAGGTAGGTGACCGGAAAGTGCAGCAGACCCTTCCTGACCTGCCTGCTGCTCCCTTCAGCAGTGTATTTCAGTAGATCTGCCTATTCTGCTCCTCACTCTGTCTCTGGTGAATCCTCTCACCCCTTGCACCTCTGGGCTGCACCCCAGTTCTTATATGCATAAATAAATAAATCTTTAAAAAAAAAAAGGGAATGTAGTTCACCTTTGTAACCCAAGACAACAAAGCATCACCTCCCATGAAACCTAACCCTGCTCTCTTTGCTTCTCTAGGCATCTTGAAATCCACTCTCCAGATGCTAAGCACACAGTGATCCTAAGGAGCAAAGACTCAGCCGCTGCCCAGGCCTGGTTCAGCGCCATCCATTCCAACGTTAGTGACCTGCTGACCCGGGTCATCACGGAGGTCAGAGAGCAGCTGGGGAAAACAGGCCTTGCTGGAAGTCGAGAGGTCAGGCATCTGGGCTGGCTTGCAGAAAAGGTAAGAAACGTTCCCTGGCAATCTCCCTGAGGAGTCCTCTGCCCCGCTTTCCCCAGGCTCTGCTGCAGTCACTGAATTCAGCTGCCTCAGCCCACAGACTGAGTCTGCCCTGTGGTCTATACACATTCTTGTCCGTCTCTGACCTGCTTGCCTTGGATGATACACGGGCTTTGCCTCATTCAAGTTTGATTCCCCTCCACAGAGTCCAAGATGTGGCACAATGCGGGTGGTTACCAGCTGTTGAGTGGATGAATCGGTGTGGTGGGGTGGGTAATTTGACTCTCAAGGCTCCTCTGAAGGAGAGGGGAAATAAATCAGGCTCACAACAGAGCTGATGCCTCATGAAGTAAAGTAGTCGAAGTTGTTTGTGTAGATTTTGTTGAACTTGCTTTTATAACAGACCTGTTTCCACCTGGTAGCAATAATAATAACAGGAGGGGATTTTTGAGCAATTGCTATGTGCTTCACATGTCATACCTTACGTGTATTCGGAAGCGTGAATGTCATCGTTTAGAAACACTAAGGTGAGTCAAGACTGACTGTCCTCTGGGAGCATAGCTGCTGAGGAAAGCACTCTCTGGTTTCTTCCCCAAGTTATGGATATGTTGAAGACAGTAAAACTCACTTTGTGGGGAGTTCACCATTCTCTTCATTTCAAAGGATTGAGACTTTGCCATTGTCCTGACACCTGATTGTTATCCCTTGAACTTGCCCTCAAGCATTCAGGACTGCTGGGCTTTGGGGAAGGAATGACCTTCCAGTGGCTCACATGCTAATAGGCAGTAAATGGGAATAATTATTAGAGCCACAGCAGCTTTCCTGCCAGTGAACCAGCCATCTGAGAAGGCCCAGCCAAGGGCACTGGGAAATAATACTCAAACACAGCATTCGGCTGTTTTCCACCATTGTTCTTTGTTTGAACCAGTTCATGTGTGGGGCTCGGCCACAAAGTTCAACATAAAATGGGTTCCAGGGTTGGGTACAGTCCCTTTTCTCACAGATTTCAAGGTACTAAAGGAGAAATATCCGTGGTAAAACACAGGCCACAGGTAGCCTCCCAGAACCTAAGGGTTCCTAATGAAAATAAGCACAGCAAACCTGGGTGATGCCACTGTATAAGCTATGATCTCTAATAGGTGTTTTTTTATTAGGAAAAAGCCTACTAGTCAGAAATGTTTCTGTTGCATGTAACAAAAAACTCAACTGAGCTTAAGCAAAAATAAAGGAGATACTATTTCTAATACCTGCCTTGTCCAAGGACAAGCTTCAGGCATCATGGGATCCCAGGATTCTGATAATGATTTTCCTCCTGCGTCTCCATTTCTTGCACCCTGCCCCCTTCCTTAGTATAACTCAAGCAAGTCATCCTCCTGAACCTGACCCCAACTTACGTTTCCCGTACAATTTTGTGTTGCCATGAATCAGGCCTCCGTGCCCCCAAGCTTCCAGAAGTCCTGAGATGACACCTAATTGGACTGACTTAGATCATATGGCCAGCTGTGTGTTGGGATTGAGACTGCCTTGGAGAGGTGGTGCTCTGGTTGAAAATTAGGCTGCTGTGCAAGGAAAAATTGGAATGTATCTGGACAAGCAAAAGCAACAGACATCTGTAGAAGGAAGGAAGTAATTGTGATAAAAATGCCCTTATTTGGTTAGTCCTGAGTGACTTTGGCTTACACCAGTATTTCATTTAGGGTTCTGGCAGGAGAGGGGCCTGGCAGGGTCATTCAGACAGGGATGGCAAGCTCGAAAGGAGTGATGGGAAAGGATTTAATGCGGAGATAATTTGCAGGGTGTGGCCAAAATAAGGGAAGCCAGAGAAAGATAGAGAAGCTCTCCCGCAAACACAGTGAGAGCACAGGACCAGCCCTTTACCTAAAGAGGTAAGAAAAGGAACAGTTACCACCACTAACCAGACTTATAAATCAGCCCTTAGAAAATCTAGTCTTGGGGAGAGAAACGACACTGCCAAGACCAGCTCACTGATTTCCTGCTGTGCCTCCCTTTGAGGCAGAGAAGCCAGAGCCACTCTCCACAGTCTGTTAGGGCTGGGCGTGGGACACTGAGCACCCTGGGACCCAGCTGGAGGGCAGCGACTGCCGTAAAGCTACCACATCCCTGCACCTTCCAAGGAGCTGAAATGATCTCGCACCTGAAGGTGCTTTTCTCTTATCTCTTTTGATCTCTTTCACTATGTTTAAAATCATTTGGAGAGCTGAAAACTAGTATTGTGTGATGTTTTGTGGTATTGAAATTTTTCCAAAGGTTCCATTTTCTCACTTATAAATTGTCTGCTTATGCCCTCTGCTTAGCCCAAATTATCGGCAGACACCTTATCAGACGCTCCCAGGAGCAGGAACAAAGGCACATCAGAAACACTTTCTGCTTTTAGATTATTGCTCATAGGATGTAATTTCAGATAATCATTGCAGATGTTTCTTTAAATTATATTATGCCTTGTATCCATAAGAGCAATAGTGACTTATCATGGACAATTATCAGAAGCAAGAATGTCTTTTATTGCCTTCATCTTCAAAACTTCTCAAGTTTACCATAGATTACCATAGATCAAGTCCCGGGGAACAAACCCAAACTGGAATTTTGTTTGAATAAATATTTAATACTGAATCCCAGGGTGGAGACATATGAATGGTTTTTAGCAAAATGTTACAATGAATGGCAAATCTTTAATACTGTGCTTTCTTATATTACCACAAATATCAGCGAATTCGCTTGGTATTTGTAAAGATATAAAGTGTGATCCTATATATATTCAACTTTAATTTACCTTAAATAGATGTCCTTTGTCTTTTCCTGTACTGTTAATCTTTAATTTTGTGGATTAATAACAGTAGTTCTGGGACACAATTTGTGCATATTATATTTAATATCCATTTACAGAACTGGCATTTACATGAACTAAGATAAAATGGAACCACAATAACAACAACTTCTCATTTTTAAATTCTGTTTCATGCAAATCCTAAAGTCTCCTGTACATGACAAAAGGGGAAAACTTGATATTGACATTGTTCTTTTCTGAGAGCGAGACTGGGACTGGAAAGATGGGGATCACCAAATGGCCAGTCCTTCAGTCCAGGGAGCACATTTGATGCAACCCAGAGAGGAGACTGAGCCTGAGAATAGAGATGGTGACCTGAGAATAGAGATGGTGGTGACAGACTAGTGCAGCTTCTAGAAAGGACAGGCTAGAGTCTGCTCTGCAGGGAGGAGACAAGCAATCTTGGGTGCTCCCCAATCATGGAAGGTCTTGAAAGTTGGACAGATGGCTTGAATTCAATTTGGTGGCCAGGAGGAAACTTTCATATGAAAAAGCATAGCAAAGAGAACATAGAGGTAATTTCTATGGACTGTGTCCTTCCCCCCAATAAAAAATCTATAGTTAAAGTCTTGACCCCTAGTGCGATATGATAAGGAGGGTGTCCCTTCATGAGGTCACCAAGTGTAAATGGAGTCATGGGGCTGGTGACAGGGGATAGGGAGACCATTGCTGTCTTTGTCCATCATGAGAGGATACAGCGAGAAGGTGGTAGGCTTCTACAAACTAGGAAGAGGATTCTCACTAGACTTCCATGTCAGCACCTTGCTCTTGACCTCCAAAATTGTGAGAAATAAATGTCCCCTCTTTAATCCACCCAGTGGATGGCATTCCAGTATAGCAGCTTGAACTGAGTCATCTAAACCAACCTCTTCTTTTTACAGATGATGAACTTGGGGTGAAGAGAATAGGAACTAATTTAGCTAAAGTCACACTGTTAATTAAGGCACAGGCATCATTACAAAGTGGATGATATGATTTTATTGTTTCTTTCATTTTTAAAAGAATCCACTGCAACTCGTCCAGTGCAATCACTTTTCTTTTCTCCTTATTTAACTACCTATTATCTGGACACTTCATGGTACCAGACTCAGCACTAGCCTTTGAGCTGCAACCGTTGTCCTGTTTGCTGACCTCTGCTCCTATAAACCTCAGCACAGGGGCAATTCCTGTCCTGTTCTCCCCGTGAACCTCCTCACCTGTAGACTGGCCAGGTGCATATTGTAGTGTCTCACCCATGACCTTAACATAGTTTTTTTCTTTTAAAGATTTATTTATTTGTGCATACAGAACTGGGGTACAGGCCAGAGGCTCAGGGGTGGCGAGAGGCTTCGCCAGTGACAGAGTGGGGAGCAGAACAGGCAGATCAACGAAGTACACTGCTGAGGGGAGCAGCGGGCAGGAGAGGTCTGCCGCGCCATGTGGATCTCCTCCGGGGCAGGCGGGGATCGAACTCATGCGGAAGTGGCTTAAGCTTCTCAGTGCTGTGCTTTAAGCCGCTGCGCCACCAGGGAGGGCCCTTAACGTAGCTTTTAATCCTTTGCAAGCATCAGTCAGTTTCAAGACCCCTCCATAAATGCTACTTCCTACCCTGAACTATGAAATGCATCATGCCCAAAACACATTTTTCAATCATTTTTACAGATTTCATGTGACTGTTTTTAGTAGTTCAATTTCAGATGAGAAAAATAAACTGGCTTCTGACTCTTTTGCTACTTAGAAAATAATAAGCAAGAGCAGGAGAGAATTGTTAAATTTTGGTTTGTGCTTAGTGTGTGGGGCACTGTCTTTGTTTTACCCTCCTAGCTCAGCTGGCAAACTATTTCTTGTTAGATTAAAAAACACAAACAAGTCAAACCCAGTTGGGAGTTCTGAGATGCAAGGTCAGTTCTGGGCTTTCCTTATTTTCAGGTCAGATTCGTTCAAATGAAAATGTTGATCTAGCTGTGCCTCCCCGGAGTGTTACTGGAGGAGAGAAAGTTGGTCATTAGTAGTTATTACGTGCCTGTCAGCTCAGGCAGTGGGCTTGAAATAATCCCTGCTCTGTGAGGCAAACTCAGGGAGGTGGAATAACTTTTCCAAGATCATTCTCTGCAGAGCCAGACTGACTCCAAAGCCCAGAGCTTCCTTCTAACAAAGGGTCCCTGAACAAAGGGACTCA